ATTAAAAAAGTTACTAATGAAAGTTTGTCTATACCAAGTCATATAGCAACAACAATTCAGCAACTTAATATTAAATATAAGTTTGATATTCTAATACTGTCTTCATCTCTACAATATCTAGCTAACTAGATCAATACTACTAAACAATATTGGAAGACCTTTTATCATGCTCACAACTTAGAAAATAATAAAGCAACTCATAAGTAAGTTCATGAAGCTTTGAACAAACACTATGAAAATCTTCAAAAAAACCTAACAAAAATAATTAATAGTATACTTAATAGATACAAAGATCTAGTTAGATTTGATAATATTAAAACTAATACTGATCTTATTACAGAACCTGAGTTCTATTAAAAACAATATATGTAGATTAATTTGCTACTATATGTGATAGTTGTAGATATATTTGAACTATGATTTCTACTATTTTAAAAACTTGGTAACTTTCTAATTAATTATAATTTTATTATTATAATAATAGCTTAATACATTTATTTTATTAAAAAAAAAACAATAAATATTTTACAAAATACTAAACTCATATTAAACAACTATTATTTAATAAAAATTTAATATGAAAATAGAATAATAATTTTTCAAGATAACTTAGTTTCAGAAATTAATTCTTCTACTTATTCCAACTACTATGTAAAAAAGTATCTCATTGGTTAGGAAGATAAACCCCAACCCATTTCTCTGCTACTAGTACTTGTTATAGTACTGTTTCCAGTTTTAGAGCAGGTTGTATCTAGAATTACTATACCAAAATATTCATTCTAGCTTTTGCTCAAGTTATCCTCTAAAAGCTTGAGAAAAACCATACTATTAAGTTTACTCCATAAAACAACGATGACTAAAAAAAATTAATAATTATAATCGTTAGTTTGAATAATAAAAACGAAAAAGAGGTTTTTAAATATCTAATTTTTTTTATCGACATGTTAATTTGTAAATAATTATGTAATGGTTACGTGATTTTTGCTCAGGATCAATAATGATAAGCGTGATTGTCATGCATGCGATTTAACAAAATTTGTGATCTGTGTACTAATTTGGAAATTAGTAGTGAGAAACAACGTTTATTTGCTACACGCGTTATTTCTTGCTATTTAAAGGTCCCGATTGGTATACGCTTTTGTTATAATATAATTCATAAAATTATGTTATTAACGACTGCACTAAAAATTCATATACTGTATATTAAATAGTTATATCGATAATAGTCAAATTAATAAAATTATTGTAATATTTGTTTAGCAGTTAGCGATATAAAAAAAAATATAATAAAATCTTATATTTTAATAGCGATAGTTCAAAAAATTTTTAGTGCAACTCACTTTTTAAAAAATTGCCAAGTTTTTTGTTTTTTTACGAGATAAAATTTTGTATAGCTAAGTAGACATTATTATTATTATTAAAATTTTAATTAACAGTAAATCACATAATTTATTGCTATCGAAAAAGTATTAAATTATATCACAGATTTCGTAGGTTCCTGCTTCGTATAAAGAAACATGTATTTAATTTTTAATTCACGATCCTTGTTCATACTAATTAATGAAATTTATCAATCGGTAGTGCTCATTAAATTATTGATTTTAACGAAATCTAGGTTTGTAATTACAACAGCAGATTTATCTTTGCTTGCTTCTTTTAATAATTATCTTATTGTTTACTGCGTAATTTTGCCGTACAAAGAAATATGAACTTGATTATTAATCGAACTATCCGTGATTATGTGCTTCCATCAATTCTAAGTACGAGTCGCCGTGAATCCACCGTTAGTCAAAGGGATCGATCCGCATCACCCACCTGAAGAGATCCTAGTAGAAGGGACGGGAATAGTAATCGAGATACTGTAATGCAAATAATGTAAATAATACAGGCGGAGATTCAGACAATAATGTAAATAATATGGATAGAAATTTAGATAATGCGACATATGGACTTACCCTAGTCCAAAATATATCTGCATCGCAAAATGGAGTTCGTTTAGTTATTAGTAACTGCGAAGCAAAAAATAAAGCTCTATTACTTCATGGTTAAAATTGTTTATATTAAATGTTTACCTACCGAAATGTATTCCGCGAAGCATTATATTAAACTATGATTTCCCTAACTCCTGTGCCTTTCAAATATCTCGTGACTTGTGATCGCTAACCCGATTATCTTGCTGAAAATTTTTCAAATGACTTAACTACGTAATTTTCTACAAAACCACCTCGTATTTTTTACTCAAACTTTTTTCAAAATGTTTCGTGACTTAACTAAGAAGCTTCAAGAACAATTTCAACTTCCAAAATTTCCAAAGGAACCCATAGAGGAGAATAGGTAACATATAGAACTGTGTGATCCTTTACTTTAAATTCTACTTAGTGTTAGCTCATATGAATTGCAGTTTACCTTTTAAGATTGGTTCCAATATATCGATAAAAAATTACAACAAATTTCTTGAAAGCCGTGAATCATCTGGATACAAGTTTGAGTATAATAACGGCAACGTTTTTATTATTGATATGTGTACAGAAGTACATGAAGCCGTTGTTGCACTATTACAAGAGTATTTCAGAATTCCAAATGGTGGCGTTATTATTAATCCACCAATAGTCGTTAGGGGTCAATCACGTAAAAAAATTCAAGTTTGCTTGATCTTTGACTTTCTATGGATTTTATAATATCTTACATCCTTTTTATAGTTCATCCTTCACCAAATGCAGATGGACTTAGGATTGCACCGGATATTGCAGTACGTCCGAATAAGACATACGTTCCAAGACCTTCTAATCCTGGACCTCTCAATATTGGACCTCCCCCAAGCGATACAATGGTACATTGAATTGGGTGTATATTATCATTATCTATTTTTCTAATCTTACACTTTTGTAGGGGAATCCTCATGCTAGATTCGTATGTGAGGTTGCAGTTAGTCAAAGTTACCGTGAATTGAAAAATAAATGTGAACTTTGGATGAGTCAGCAGTATGTGAGATGTGTATTAGGAATAAAACTTTATGATTTACAAACTACACGAAATATACATGGACAATTTAATCGATTAATGAAGGTATGTATCTATTGACTAGTTTCGTAGTTGATATTCTCAAAAACTTTTTAAATATTAGGCTAAATTATGGAGACAAGGAATGCCAACCAGAAAAGTAATATTAAATTGTTTAGAGATTGTATTTATTTTATTTTTTCGATATTTATAATATGTTTTTTTTCCTAAAAAAATAAGTGGCATTTTGGGACTGTGCAAAAAGGTAGTGTACCTACTGGGTGTAATGCTCCGGGTAATCCAGCATATCAGATCAACATCCCGATAAGTGATATATTTTATGACCCACTTATTCCAGCTATTGGATATGTTCCTTATCCTCGTCCTGCAATTCTTGATGGTAATTTCACTATTGATCTTTACGAAATTCAGCAAATAGTTTTAGAAAGCCAGCCAATGTAGTGTGTTAAAGTTTTAATAAATATATAATAATCCTGTTTGTTAACACTGCACTGCAATCTATTATAATACTCCGAGCTTGGTTCATGCTCTTATTTTTTTTATTTATCAATGCCCGCATCGGGCTGTGCATATGCGTATGGTAATATATATAAAAGTGATGTTTAAAAAAATTATTGTTAAATTATATTTATAAAAAAAAAAAATAAAAATATATATATATTTCTTTATATTCAGCAGAAGCTTTATTTAATGATAATGATAATGGATTCATAAAAAATGAGAAGACAGGATATTGTTGTTGATATAACATATTAAAGTCAGTAAAATCAGTAAACGGAGTAATTAGGAACAGTTGAAGTTGATGCTTTACTAGGTTATATTCAAGCATCAGTCTTTTCTTTATGGCCAGCTTTTTTATTTTTATTTTTCGTTTTTTTTTTATTTTTTTGACGATGATATTTGACGATGATATTTGATAAATAATAGAGATCAATAAAAACTGCTCAAGCATTGATTACAATCCTTATTTTAATTGATTGTAAGTAAATGAGCACAATTACGATCGCTAATAAATAGCATCGAGGCGATGCTTGAGAAAACTTCAATTACATCATAATTTGCATATTAAATTTTTAGCTAAAATTTTACGTAATTATAAAAATGGTTGTGCACTATAATCACACCAAGGAGAACACCCTTGTTCCTTGAATAAATTTTCTTGGTGCGAGTTAAAGAATTTCGTCTATTATTTGTCATGACTATGGGTAACTAATTGTCTGAATTAAAGGGTAGTTCCTTTGGATTCAAGTACAAGAGATGAGTATCATAGGTATAACTTTTAAGTTATTAAACTCAAGTCATGATAGTATTACATAAAATTATATTTTATATTTGTCATATGCCACTAATCTTTTAAGATCAAGATATCATTACATGTTAAAGGTAGTATACTTTGAAAGCTTCAAAAGTATTTAAAATATCTAGAAAATTCCGAATAAATATTATATGTATATCAGATATGATCGAAAATTTCATTAGTGATAACAATTAATGTACAGTATTATTAATTAGTAGAAGCGAATAGAAAAAATTTGATAAAAATTACTTATTATATTATGTATTTTAATTATTTTACATATAAGTTTTATCACAAGTTAATAATATAATTAGAAATCTGTAGAAATAACAATTCCAGTTTGTCTTTCAAACATGGTTTTATAATTCTCCCAGACAATGCACCACCAATCTTGTAAAAAACCATCCTGACCCTCTAATGGTAATAGCAAGTCAGGAAGTTCTTCATGAGTAGATGTAGCCGAAATGATGGATGGAGATCTCTCAGAGTATTGAAAGTAATCACTTCCAGCCATATGACTGTTTATGATAGCCTCGTGATTTAATTCAGGTGGTAATGCTGAATCATTAATAACACATTCAGATTTAATATTCAAATTTTCCTCTTCTTTTACTTGGACTAGTTGGATACTCGAACCTAAGATATTATTAACGTTAGAAACAACGTCAAGAGATGAACGTTTTCGTCAAAATTATCACCATCTAATTCCTCAGACAATTCATCTTGATCATCATCATCATCATCGTCATCATAGTCATCATTATCATCACAAGATTGTTGAGTTTCTGCCACACTTGGAGGAACGGTAGCAGGAGAAATAGGTGGAGTCACTAATTGTTCAAGCCAAGGAGGTGGCCAGTCATCTAATTGAGCTTCTTCAAAATAAGTTCTTGCAGTTTCGATGCAACCAGATTTTCTAAGATAATCATAAACAAAAGCTTCAAGTAGTCGAAAAGTCCTTTGGCGAAATTCTTTATCAATTTCGCGTGACATCACTTGTTCATAAATTAATTCTTTGAGGAAAAAAAATTAAAAAAAAAAAAAAAAGCAAATATGGGATTTTAAAATTCGAAAGAAATGACATCAAGAACTTCTCTCCGTACTTATTAATATATAATTTTTACGTTATAGTGACTTGATTAGAAGAAATAATTGCAAACGTTCAAATTTTATAATAAAAATATTTTATATAAAAATCTTTTATAATCTAGAAACTTGATACGAAACATTAGTACAAAAAAAAAAGCATCTAAATATTATAATTTTACCAGAGAAAATTATAAAACACAACTAACACGCTTTTAACAAGATCGCCCAAAATATGTCATTTACTTGACTAATGAATTACGACAAATTTATTTCTTTGAAAATGTAATTATGTCGTCATTATATCACCTTTAAATTAGCAATGTTATACTTTTTTTTTTTGAGATTTGATTTTGGTAAAAAAACTAAAAGAACCAAGTTTATTATATCATATATGAAATTATGTTATTTTAACTTAGCTTGATTTTTTAAATGAGTTAAATTAATTATTGATATAATCGAAAGTATAATAAACAATACTTTATTGTTTACAAACTGTATGTATTACATATTTTTGGGTTTTAATACAGTATATTATTTTTTATATTGAATAAGTATAGTATATTATTAATACTTTATACAGATATTTAAAGTTATAATCTTTTAAAATTTGAACAATATATTAATTTTTTATGAAAACTATATAAAGGTTTTTAGTCTAACTACTATTAAAATATATCTAATTTTTTTATTTTTGGAAGTTGTTAAAATTAATTTTCCTCTTTTTAATTAACATTCAAATCCGAAGATTATTATGTATCGAATTTGAAAACTTGGAATGCTACTATTAAATAGCTTATAAATGAGTCTTTTTTTTTAAAAAAAAAAAAATTAGTACTATTTACTCTGTGAATATCGTTTATTCTATTTTATATAAAATTTATTCCTGTAGAAAAAAATCCCACCATTTCTACAAATTATGTTATTATTGCATATTTACTTATTCTCTGTAATATTTATTTATTCTTTTGTAATATTAATATCCATGGTAGCTTCCGTACAATTATACAAGTCCCTCAATTTTTCTCTACAAACTTCCGGATCCTCTTTATTCTTTGCTAAACATTCGTCAAAAGCATCTATAACCTCTTGGCATTTTTCTTTCATCTTTCTGATGTCTGGAACACTGGAGGGGTTTTTTTTTTCACATTACAAATAAATTGTTAATTATACTGTTAATTTTATATAATAAAATTAATTACTATAGATAAAAAATTCAAATTTCCCACTTTTCTTCTGAACATTTTGTAAGTTCTCGTTTTTGTTCGAGACATTCTGAAGTCCAATCTTTATTATGATTCTCAACACAACGTTGATATGTCTCAAGTTTTGAACCACAATATTTTACAACTTGTATAAATGTTGCATTCATGAAAAATTACGAGAATGAAAAAAAATGTTCGATTATCATTATCTAGATGAGTGATGTAAATGTATAGAATTGTTACACACATTATAAAGTACATATTAGTCGATAGAATAATTTGCCCAGTCTGAGAATAGACTTTGCAAGAATTACTTATCACTTAATATATACTAAGTAATTCTTACTTATTACTTACACATACATGATACGTAACGATTAGAGTGAATAGAGATTTAACCAAAAAAATATATATATAGATTTTTTTTGTTGCTAAAATATAAATTATCGTAAGAATTACAAAAATCTTTAGTATTTATTAGGCGATATTAAATAATAATACATAATAATTTTGCCCATATCTAATTTAAAATTTACACCAATATATTTGAGTAACATCATACCCGGTATGATGATAAAAACTTTTTTGTATACTTATATTAAAACTCCCTTAGAAGTGATTTATAGAAATAAAAAAATCTTTGAATCTTTTATTATTATTATTATTATTTTTTCGGCTATGACCAAGAGATAATTTTATCAGCTTAGCCAGTCGACTTAGTTGAACCTCAAATTAATTGACACTTTGAAGTAAAACCTATACTTTCCAGATCTTTATTATACAGTATATTGATTTCAATTTCTTTTTTTAAATATTTAAAGAATTCTTTTTCAAACGTTCTCAACAAGCTTTACGACTGAGCAGTATAGTAATAGATTTTTGGCGTCGCCAAAAAAACAAAATATTTCGGGCATTGAATTTATTACTTGCTAGCCCTGATTAATAACGTCTAGTAAATGACCTGGTCATTTGATGATTTTTAAATGACCGGTCATTTTTAGTCATTTGTAAATGACCTATGACCGGAGTCATCATCGTCATTGAGTTATTCTACGTAAACAAGTAGCATTTGATTCTCTAATAGTTAATATAAAAAGTAATCAAAACTACTGATTTAATTTAACTGTTCTATGTAAAGTTGTTCGCCGAATAACTTTACATAGGACATAAATATCGATTAACTTTGTAAAATTTCGACTTTTATATACAGCTACTTTTATCGATTATATTTTATAATCAATAATCAACTAAAAGACATTAGATTATCATTTAACAAACCTTCTTAAGTCATTTGGGCTTTGAAATGATCAATGATTGGTCATTTGTCATTTGAGTCATTTCAAGTCATTTACCATCCCCTGGTTTAGATATAACGAACTTGGTTTACATTATTTAAAATGGTATTGGAGTTGAAAAAGGATGAAGGTAGGGCGTTCACTAAGGATTGAAGTCTGCTTGGATAGGTGATATTGAAAGAACATATCATATTAGTTATCGTTATCTGAATGAATTAAAGTCGAGAAAGATGAACAATAATTATAAACACCTGCTGATTTTTGATCATGTCTTGGGAATACTTTTGCGTTTAGTGTTTGTTACGAACAAAAGAATTGGAATCGAATAGAACGAATGTAAAAATATTCGATTATTATCAAAAATTTGCTGATATGGGTAACGTTAACGGATTATTTATCTTGGTAGTTGTAATGTAAAAGGAATTGATGTTAGGAAGGAGGAATAAAAACTTTTAGAAGATTGTCAAAATCTATTAATAAGTGATGCTAATGAAATGTATATCGTTGGATTGTGTTAGAAGCATGGAAATTGAGTTAGAAGAGTTGAAAAGAAGAACGTAAACGATTGAATATTTTAAGAAATCTGCTAATATGGGTTATATATGACGAGCGAATTATTTGAATGATAAGAAATTTTAAAGAAATCTGAGTTATTATCATATTAACGATCTAAAGAAATTATTACATAAAAAAATATGGGTTTCTTGTAATGAATTTCAATATATAAAAATCGAATTTACACGAGTTAAATTTTTGTACAAATTAGCACTTAAATAAGTTAATAGGTCAAATGAAAGTATTAAGAAATTTTTCAAAAATTGTAATATCGAGCATGAGAATACAATGTTATGAAATATTAAGGCATCCGAACTAGTCATAAAGTTTTAAAATCACTATGTTTTACCCCATATTTTCGCGTAATAACGCGTAGGTGCGCGTTATTTCGAAACGCGCATTCGCGATAATTCGAATCATTTAGTAAATTATTAGTAAATAAAAAATTATACTTATAGGAGGGCACTTTAATTTATTTTAAGGATAGGACCTGGAGTTGAAACTTTATATCGGGTACAACCTCTAATTTGAAGGGTATGAGGGCGTTATTTCGCGTAAATACAGTAGTTTTGTCCGGTGTCTAAAATTCAATTTGCAACTAAAATCTAAAATATACATGCAGTTCCGCGGATTACAAAAATTTAAATCAAAATAGGTGTATAATCAAATTTAACTTGCGGAACTGCATGATTTTAGTTGCGGAAATTTAAAATTAATTGCAGTCCTCAAGTTCCGCAAGTCAAGTTTAGAATGCCCTAATTTCCCCCACCACTTCTGATTGGCTGTACTAATTACTTACTCATTGGAGCCAATCAAATTTAACGATCAGGTATAACGTAAAAGAAACGTAAAAAATACAAAAATCGCTCATAACTCTAAATTCAACTTATGAAACTGTCTTCTGCGCACTAATTAAAAAGTTTTCTTAGAAAATTTTGGTACAAGAAACACACTCTTATCATAACCTAAGGGCAAAATACTAACTCTAGCCCAACAGCGAGAATGTTTACTTGAAAAATTTTTTTGATTAATACTCCGATAATTGAATAATAGTACAGCCAATCAGAAGTAGTGGAGGAAATTAGTAAATCCAAATTAAAAATGATAAAACTAATGTAAACAAGATAAAGCGTCATGCAGTGAATCTGGGCTAGTACTGTATAGTACTGTAGCATGAAACACTAAACCATACTACTGTACTAGCTTGGAGAGTAACACTAGCTATAACTTTAAAAGATCATAATAGCTTCTCACATTCGATAGGGCAGGATCCGGGTATCTAAAGATAATGACTTGGTTCAAAATTTAAGCTGAGTTACTCAATCATTCAAAATATCAGTACTGAGTCACAAAAGTCGCATGGTAGACTCGGGTAATAATAATAATAATAATTTTTTTTTTTTTTTGATGATTAACTTCAAATAAAGAAATTCATTATACCTTTAGACGTTTGAAGTATGATCCTGATATTTCGGTACAAGAATGAACAAGTGAAAACAAAAATACTGATAATTGTGTCAGAGAATTTCAACTTTGAACCTTAAATCTGAATAGATTTCATTTGATAGATTATCCAATATTACATAAATTGACAGATTAATAATGATAAAAATAATTATGTAAGAGTGCGTGAAAAATCCAACACTATAGCACTTAAGACTCTAGTTAGTTTCAAAGCAAATAATTTGAATTTTTTAAAGAAAATAATTTAATTTGTTACTTGTATAAATTTGTCTAACAGTTTATTGAGTTAATTAATTAGATAAGTTTAAAAATCCTATATGTGCAAAATAAAATATAGTAAATCCGCAATAACTCAAGATACAAGAACAAATGAATACTTGAAGCAATTTTAATAATTATGATCCGATTTGAAGCCCCGATCGCCTCGGATATCACGGGACCGCCAAATTTTGCGCCATCACTTTTCTACTTTTTAGCAGATCAAGTGAGTACTTCATCACAATGAAAAAAAAAGATGGTCTCGACTAAGCTTGTTGGTGAAACTATATAACATAGTTGCACCAACCTTTATTTATCACCAATTACCTTCACCATATCACCAATATTATTACTTTTACTATTTATTAATTTAACAATTAAGTTGCACCTTTAATTTTTTAGTTTCACCAGTTTCATCTAGTGAAATATATTAGTTTCACCAACAAGCTTAGTCTCGACTATCTTTTTTTCATAACTGATAAAGTTCATTGATCACTATCCAATCACATCGAGGAGAACGATTAAATAAACAAATTAAACGATTACAGTTAAACGGTTAACAATTTTTCGCGGTCCCAATCCTTAAATCTACCTGCAAAAATTTATTTGGGTATTTTGGATTGCAATCAAATAACGTGTTATGTGTAACATTAAAATTTAACTTGCAATTCCAAAATTGGTCAAAAATTTTGGATTAGACGCCAAATTTTTCGACCCCAAAGTCTCGATTTGAAATATAAATTACAATTATATTCTTTTACAGTAATCACTAGCAAATAATACAGTAAATTAATTTGTAAAAATTATATTTGACTGGGTACTTATACAAGTAACTCTTGATATAAGAAAGTCACCAAGTTCAGATAAAACCTTTCTTATATCGAATGCTTTTTGTTATAAAATTTCAATTGGGACTTGTATAATCCTTCTTATATCAAAAGTTTCTTATATCGAAGGTTTCTTATATCAAGAGTCACAGTCACTTGTATAGTTGAACTCCTTAATCTTATATTTTTGTCAAAAGTTATAAGAACTATTATTTTTGCAATTGAATACCTAATTAATATTAAATGAATATATAATGAATATATTAAATGAATATATAATGAATATATTAAATGAACATTAAAAAAACTAATGCAAATAATTGTAATTTAATTTTAATAATAACTAACATTAAATAACAAATTAAATACAATATAATGTTAAACTTTAAATCAAAAATACATTTTTTTTTTTAAAAAAAAAGTACATTAATCTTCAAGAGAAAAGCGTTTGTATAAAGACTCATCCAGTAAATTTTCTTCCACTTGTTCAGGTGTTCTATAAACTATTATTATAATATAAAATTATTATTAGGAAAAATACATTAAAATATTTTATTGTTAAATTAAACTTACTGATATCTTTTAGTCCCATATTGAAATTTGTGAATACAAATACTGACCATACTAATGTAATCTGAAATAAACATAAGATTTTTAATTAATTAATTAATAATAATAATAATAATAATAATAATATTGCAGGCATAATGAAATCAATAACTTGACATACAGATGCCATAATAACTCCAAAAATTACTATTAGAAACATAAAAGTATCAATCAATATGAAGTATTTCTACTCAAGGAACGAATCAAGATCAGGTAAAAAAACAAAAAAACTTACTAAATATGATAAAGAAGTACCAACTACCAGTCGCGTCTCCAATAGAATAATGTAAAAGTATCAAAAAATCTATAATACAAACACCCCATATGAAAAAAACAATATACATTCCTATTTTCCAACTTTTTCAGATGTGGTTTTGTTTTAGTGCGGTAAATATATGTTTATTATTGCCAGTGTGATATTTATATTTTTAATTAACCTCGTTTTATCAAGGTGTATAATCAAAATTCCATACAAGTAATAGCAATCACTGTTATTAATTTACTTTTTGCTCTTAATGGGCTTGTAAGTTTCACATTTTTATTACATTGGTTCGTCTGATGCTCTACATTGAATGATTTTAATGGTGATACTTCAGAGTATTATATATCACTATTAAAAATTATACTGGAGTGGTCTAATACTTAATAAATATCGATGAAAGACCTTCTATGTCATGAATTCTTATATTCAATTATGATTATCTTGATAGATCCAATGGGTAGAAGTCAAAAAATGGTATATTGACTTCGAAAGCGACTGTCCGGGAAAGATACCATTACATACACAATTTTTGAAATATGATGCACCTTTGATAACATTATTGTTAGTATTTTCAATTGCCATAGGATTTTTAAGTTGGAAATTATATAAGCAATTTGGTTGGAATATTTACAAAAAAATTGGTGCCGATTTAGAAATGCAAGGTATTATTTGTTTATAACTTTGTGTATGTTTAAGTTTTTTTTAAACATGTTTACTAATTATAGAACTTATTTAATTTATCTCTTGTTATTAAAGCTTGATTTAATTTTCATTTTGGGTCTTTCAGCTGAAGCGTTAAATGTTTATGTAGTTACGATTAGTAAACTAGATTATCTAAAAAATTTAAGGTATATGCCTGTACCCTTTTATTTATTTCATCTCGTTACTACTATTTGTATTGCCATAAATGAAATATTAGCTTATCGTTCGGTAAGTCCTTTTTTAAAATTCTTA